CTAAGTACTTAATTTTGAATATGTTTATTTTTAAATATGTATTTTCCTACAACATAAGAACTCGTCAATAATATGAGCCACCCCTCATATTTCCCTCATACGTCACATCTGTAGATACAACGGAGATTTTTGTAGCATTTGTTCATTCATTTGAAAGCATGACTATTAGATGTAAACTATGACAGAGCCAGGAAAGCAGCTTCCCTGCAGCCCTGTCTTCAGATGTGGTAATGGTATCCTTGTTGGCCTGAATGTAATTGTTTCTTAGGTACCATGGAGTCAGGTGTTAATGAATTAGCAACCGCTTTTCCTTACAAATATAACTAAGAAATACATCTAAAAATCCATACCTGGCACAAACTGAGAAATGAACCTCAGAAACGTGAAAGTTCCCTTCCAAAAGAAAGCTTTACCCACCAATCTCCCTTCCTCACTTCATTCTTCTTTCCCTCTCTCTTCTACTCCCCCCACCCCTACCCCCCATATATTTTGAATATTATTCCTGCTCCATCCTCAGCCTTCTAGCAAGTGTAATGAAGAGAGACAGAAGTTCCTCCTGTAGAAAAGCTTAACAACTACCATGGTTGAAAGCAGGAAACAAAACATAGATTTGAAGATAGATTTCATTTCCCCTGCCTGTTCCTTTCATTAGGAGAAGTGAGATGCGCTCTAATGGTTTCACCTTTACCATTTGTTACATTTGCTGTAAGTCAGCCTCTGAGCTTTCCTCGAGCTTCTCCTTTTAGATCAAGAGTTTTTAGGTGTGTCAGTGATACTGCAGCCTCATTAGCATCTGTGTGACATCCCCCAGGATGCGGGAGAAGGTTGCACATTGCTCATCTTAGCACAGCAGCAGCACACATTTGAAAACAGTGAGATCAATATCAGTTATGAAGGTTTCAACTCTTTTGAATTGAAAGAATGTCTGGAAAATATTTTAAGTAATGCATGAGTCCAGGGATCAGAATATGTCATAGTAGCTGGATGGTTTGCCCATCTGCCATTTGTGGTCACTACTGTCAGAAGTGATACTTAAATCATCTCATGCAGAAACTCTGACCGAGCCTTTTTTCTTCTCAGTGTTGTGGATGAGTGCTACTGAGCATGCAAAGATTGGGGGTGGCTAAAGGAGAACTCCGAAAGCCTTAATCTGCTCAAAAAATGCTGTCTGCTTTTATCAGTGCCTTCTGCTTCTCAGCATTAGCGGTCTCAGGTTAACTGCCCAGCTCTTATTTTGTTCTGCCTTTTTCCCACTGGAATAATTATCCTACTAAAAAGTCTTTCAGCACTGATGGTCTTCACTTAGCTAACAGTTTTGTGTAAGCCAATGACCTTACGTTAATTTTCTCCTTTCAAGTTAAATATAAGGTATATGTGTGAGAGCACTGTTGAAGGGAAGGTACAACTGCCCACTAGTTTTGGGAAAAAAAGTTTCCCGGTCAGCTCTGGGGGCCTTCAGGGGTTGTAACTGGTAAAATTCTGCATGCCCCTAAGACTTTGTTACTTTTTTTGTTCTTTTTTTTATGTGTTGTGGCTAGGGGCATTTCTCATATTTAAGTTACAAAGCCAGAACAAAACTGTGTCAGTCTGATGGGCTCACATCTTATTATAACAAAAGAGACAAGTGGCAGTATGCAAAATGCTAGCAGCAGTGTAAGAGCCACTTTGAATTCAAGTTTTACCACAAAGCCTATGATTTTCTTTAAGCTCTGTCTCCTATAATTGATTTATTACCTTCTTTTTCATATTTTTCCATTGATTCTAGCATGAACAATTCTGGACAAAACTAAAATAAGGAAATGTGATACTGGCATCATCATATGACAAAGAAAGGCTCCTGGAATGTCTGTTGCTTAATTTTAAGCCAGACTTTTCCTTTTGGTGGGAAAGGGAAGAGTTTAAATGCTTGAACGTAGCTAGTGGCTAGTGGCTGAAGTAGTGTGAAATGACCATACCAACATCTCTTGGAACATTCTATGGTAATATGTGTATGGGAAAATTTAGTTAAAAGCTTCTGATTGGGTTAGACTGGGACAACTATCAGAAACAAGATCCAAAAGTGCTCTAAAAATGGCTAGAGTTCAGATAAAAAGGCTTCTAGAGTGGGTATATGAAGGCAGACTATTGAAGTGTCCATATAACTGAAGGGCCCTGATTATTTCCCCATTCAACTGACAGAGCCCTGACACTTTCATGTAATGTAAAACTACATATTTGTTCAGCTTTTAGTTGAAGAGAATATGTAGAATGCAGAGGTTGTACAGAGTTCATTTTTTTTTCTGTGTAGTTCTTTCTGTGCTTTTTTCTTTAACCAAAGTTACTTCAGATGGGGATTTCAATATTTCTGAAGGCAGACAATTTACTTCCTTGAAAGCATTAAGGAAGACAAATTAAAACTAGAGATACATTACTTTTTTAATAACTAGTTTAAAAAATTGGAGAGAAAAATCTGGAAGTGCTGTTTATTATTTACTAGAATTTTGTACAGCAAAACCATGTGGCTTCCTGACAAGTTTGTTTCTCAAATAGAAAAGAGTTTGGGGAAACCCATTTCCATTACTGGGAAAAGATTTTTCTTGTGTTTTGAAAGAGATTGACAAAGCCATTCATCTGGCTTTATTATCATGTAATTTACTATATATTATATCACACTTACTGGACTGTGAGTTTCTGTGAAATGTTTTGGGAGCCCTTGAATGATTTTGTGTTCGATTTCAAGGTATTTTCCACAAATGTCTTGAATATTGAAATATGTACCACTAGATTGTGGCTAACTTGGGAATGTAGTGATCTGCATTTCTTAAACACTATTTTATCAGCATTGTCTTGTCAAGTCTTTACTCTAAAAAATATTCAGTAGGCATACAGGTACATCAACTACATAAAGTCAAAAGAATTTTGTTTAACCTATCAGTATTTTTGTTCCTCTTCAGAGCTCAGATTTTGCTGCCTTGTTTCTCATACCTGCAGTTCTCCAGCCTTAAGATCTTAGCTCCAGTGTCCTGAGAGAAAAAAGCTTTTCAAATGTCAAGCATAAGTGCAATGATCATTTTCCTAATTTCAATCTTCCAGCTATTCAGACATTTCTGGGATCATAAAACAGTAAGAAAATTAAAAACAAAACAAAACAACAACAATTAAAAAAGAAGAAAAAAAAAAGAAAAAGAAAAAGAAAAGACAAATCCTATGATGTTCCATTTGCTATCTGTAAATCTCAGGGTAACTTATTTTGTTGAGGTTATAAATAGAATGACAGCAATGAATATTTTCTCTTATTCATGGCTAAATTATTTATCAATCCTTTGCTCTCAAATTGAAGAAAGTCTGTATATACTATTGATTGTTAAGATGGCAGTGCCACCATGCTTCCCCAGCTAAGCCAGTGATTGAAGCACCTTCTGAATGTGAAAGCCTTCGAATAATGACAATAATAAATACTTTTTGTCTAGTGTGCAATGGCACAGCGAATTGGATCATGTTAGGCTTCATCTGCTGCCTAATGCAATGTAACATAGCAGATAAAATAAATCAAATGGATGATACTCTTAGACTTGAAAGATGATAGCTCTTGTAAAGCAATTGATGTAAGAATATGTCAATGCAGTACATTTCAGATGTTTATTGAAATCTACAATCTTTGAAAACAAACAAATGCATATTTTAAAGGCTATCAAACAAGTGACTACAAATACAGCAGTATGCCTATTACTGACGGATTTGTTTCCTGAAGTGGAATTCAAATAATTTTATTTATTTATTTATTTATTTATTTATTTTTGTGATCTGGACCTGAATTCTTAGCTATAAAAGTTCAGTAGTGCTTGCTAAAGCTTGTTTTTAAATTTCAGTGAGTTAGGATTCAATAACATGGATTCAAGCAAACAGTATCCAAAAATATTTTTTGCTTGTTTTCAGTATTGTAATAAAAAGTTTAATTTATTGGGGTCAATTTTAAGGAAGGCTTTATTTTTCTTGTTTATATTTGTTTCAACTGTTTGTTCATTTTTAATTCTTATAACAATTAACTTTTTATGAATCATTACTTCAGCCTTTTAAAAGTTGATCTGCTAATTACTTTTTTAGTAAGTAAGTGTGGAGTAACTGTGAGGAGTGTAAGTGATTAGGGAGCATATGAAGGCATGCCTGTTCATAAAGCTGTATTTTTTGTTTCTGTTTTATGCCTCATGAAGGCACAAAGCTCAGGTCTCATTCAATTTGTAGATGTTTTGTTTTTTATTCAAGTATTGTGATTGCATTCTGAACTGAGTTCTTTGGAAAAGCAAAAAAATGATTAAACAGCATTTTTTTCTATTTTTTTCTTTCCTTTGGTATCATAAAAAAGGATTCAGCTCCTTTATTTATAAAAATAACATGTAGCCTTCCCTGATACATTTATTATTCAATAAAAATATAATGCATTTTCTAAAAATGTACATATACATGTACATCGTTAAATTCGTTTTTAAAAAAATAAACCTAGCATCTTCAAGACTTTGTCATTTGGATCAAATTTTTAAGTGTGTTCTCAAAAGCAGAATAACAAGCTGTGAATAAGCCTGCATTTATGAAGTGGGAATGCCACCATTTAGTTTCTGGATTTGTTCTCTACAATTTTTAGTTATATAAGACATTTTATGTTTGATAGGACAGTCTGAAGGACATTTGGGTACTATGGTTGTAATTTTGATATTGTAATCTATTTGTATTTGGATTTCATTTTGTTTAGTCTTTAGGAGTACTTACAAGTTTTAGATTTCTCAACACTTTAATAATGTTTTGCACATTATTAAAATGCTACTGTAATGTATCTTCCTCAATAATTGCCTTGTATTCATAATTTGAAATTAATGTTGCAGTTAAACATCTGGAGAACAGAGTTAACATTAAATGTGTTTGTGCTTTTTTTTGTTTTGTTTTGTTTTGTTTTGTAGGTATTGCATGATAAAACCAATAACCTCAAACTAGAACAAAAATATAATTAACTTTCTTTCTCTGTGTAGCCCACCGTTTGTGAACGGGAGCTCTGTGTATTTGCTTTCCAAACATTAGGAGTGATGAACGAAGCTGCTGATGAAATTGCAACTGGGGCTCAGGTAGAATTATCTAATAATTATTACGTATCTGATTTTCTATAGTGTGTGCAGTTTTTTCAGTGTCTTCTAATACTTATTTTACTTGTATTCCTTGTATGAGTATTCCTTGGTAAGTATTATTTATTTGTGAATTCTTATAGCCATAAATGCACTGTTTATGCATGACATTTTCAGATGTTACTAATGAGGTGCTTCCATTGTTTTCCTTCCATGTAATTAGAGTAACCCGCTTTTCTTGTTCTGTTGTATTCAATTAGGTCACCTGGATTGTTAATAAAGGCAGACGTTGTCATCTGCAGATAATTCCCATTTATTTTCACCTAATGAGCCATTACTACTCTCATTCAATTAATAAGCCACTTCCTGTTCATGGTGTTGGATGCAGCTATCCACTGAGCATCTGTTATTTTGATCATTAAATAACAGTGGGAAAGTCCTTATTGATGTTTCTACATAGAGTTTTTTTCTCTCTTCTCAAGGATTAGGAATTTAACACAGCCTTGCTTTCTGACTCTAAATTCTGTTATCAATGTTTTTATAACCATAGAATTACTTGTTGGTTTTTTTTTCTTCATGATTTTCTATGTGCCGTAAAACAGTATTTTAAACTATGTTTTCAAATCACCATTTAACCTTAATTTACAGTAGTTACAGGGCTTCAGTGTATTCAAAAGTTAAAATGGCCTTTTCAGATCTTATGGAAAAATGCATTCCTCTCCGATTACCTAAATATATGTCACTGACTGTGCATTTCCTTGGTAAGCAACATGTTTTTTGGAAGAGCAACCATTCAGTTCAGTTAGCTTTAACTAGCACTAATGAATCTAGCCACTGGAAATAAACTATTTGGCTGAGTGCCAGAATAACGTCTGTGAGCATTTCCTAAGAGGAAGAAATTGGAGAAGTGTCTTTTTCCCTTAAGAATATAACTGAAGACCTCAGTTGTGTCATTCTGTAGTGCTGGACTTTTATTTTCTGAATATACCATATTTACATGGTATTTAGGTACAAGCAAGTAGCTCTCACTTCTGTTTTTAAATATGGCTGAGGGGAGAGGTGGTCCATGTTAACTCTCACACTTCGTTTTACATAGGTCTTACTGTTACAGACATATGCAGAGCTTTCTCTAGCTCTCTAGAGCACCTCTTCATCTACAGAGCATTGCTGAAGAGTATTGAAGTGATTACAACCTTAATGGTGCTTAAAAAGAGGTAGAAAAAAATGATGTTGAAATATCGGACTGAGGTGACTGAATTTTGTTGGGTCTCACTGTAGTGTTAGCATCACACCCAACTCACTACATCTGATCTGGTTGAGCTCTCTTTCCTGTTTGCAGAAAGAGTTCAGTGCTTTTAGGGTTTGATTCATCAGAGCTATTTTTGACAATAGTTTAGGATGGTGTGAGTCACAGCATAGGCCATCAGCACAGAGGTTATTTTCTCCATTGATTATGAAGAGAGTTTAGGCTGACTAGTACGATGTAGGTACTCACACTGTGAATTTCTACATTTCATAAAATAAAACTTCCTCCAAGTCTCCAAAACATTTTGTGTAGTGAAGATCCTAAATACAGGTTCCCATTATTAGAAATTACATCCTGTTCTTCCTACCATGCTTTGATCTAGTTTTCTAAGGTAGACACCCCTACTTTGTCACTCCCTGTGTTCTGATGGCCTCTTCTTAATAATAAGAGATTATACTTGATATACTTTGAAGCTCAAATTCACATCACCTTCTTTTTAGTCATAGTCAAAACGCCTGAAAATTAAACACCTGATTTTTTTTTTGGTAGTTTGGATTTCCTGTAGAGATGTACTGAGAGATTTTTTCCTCCTTGAAAATATTTAAACCATACCTGAGGTGCTTCAATGCTCACTCCTAGGCAGGAGAAGCTCACACCCAGCTACAAGAACACTTAATAGATCCACAGCACTTCTTATTACCAAGGAGCACATGTAGAAGTTCATATTATGTTTGCCTTAGACTTATCTCACAGTTTCAGCTGCTGTATATTCTATCAGCTCAGAACAATGATCTCAGGGGAAATCAGGGGATTAATTAAGCCTAATCTATGCACATTTTCCCCAGGTTAAAACAACCTGCTGTTATCATGGTGAGAAACAATACAGAAGTCAACATTTGTTTTAAATGAAGGCTTTGGGATGCTGTTCTAATAAGAACTGTGCCAGTTCTAAGACAACATCCCACTGTGCAAGTAATAAAGGAAGACAACTTTGGATCACTGTATTAAGCAGTCTGGAAACTCAAACAACTCTTCCCTATTAGTGTTTTGCAACTGAAAGCAAAGAAGTGCCTGTAAGAAGTTTGAACTTGGGCCCAGTTTCATGGTAATAGACAGCTGCAGGCCTGGTTGCCTGACCTGGCTGTGTATAAAGTCTCCTAGTCCCCTTTGCAAATACTAATGCAGATGCCCTATTTTTGAAACATTTGTCACGCTTGTAGCTATTATATACTGGATGGAAATCAGAGCACCATGGAGAAAGCAATGATTATTTAAGTATCTTCAGTTTTCAATATATGTGAGCTAGTACCTGAAACTAACAGAATATTTTTAAACAGGTAGAGAAAATTGTCCATTCATGCTGAAGGAGCAGAGGAGAATGGCAACAGTATGACTCACTGCAGCACAGTTTCTTTTCTCTTTCATTATGATTCTTATTTTCATTCTTCTTCTCTAAAGGACCATAATTTTTATTTCTTCCATATGATCAGATACAATAGCAGACATATAATGACTTCTAGAACTTGAGCTGTGAGATGAGATCTGATTTATCTGGAATTGTGGGAGGAACCAGGGATGCCCACTAAGTACAAATCTTCTAGCCCTTTTGTTTCTTTCATGGAAAAATTCATTTTTACAGAGGAATTTTTTCAGATAACACAGAGAAATCAGATGGAAATAAGCCAATCTGCAGTGATGTTTTTACATAGCAACTTTGAATTTTATTATCAGTGGGATTTGGGTTTCACAGCTGCCAGAAAGCTGCTTTATCTCTGCTTTGTCATTGCTGTAGGCTCTTTTTAATCTGTAATTTACTAATTTTGAAACAATTGCACTTAAATCTGTTGCAAAATTGTGTATGTGTCAACATGTACCTATGTGAATATGTCTGTACCGATTAGACACATGATCTTACAGTGAAATCTTGGAAATCATAGGTAATCAAATTCATGTTATAGTTATTTGTAACAGAAAGGAAGGGAGAGAAGTTCTCCCAGTGTGAGATATGCAAGTAACTTTTAAATCACTGTGCTGTTCTGGCTTTAGTAAAATCAATGTTTAGTAGTGTTTTATGATTACAGTGTTCAGGAGAACAGCAGGTGGTGGTACAAGTTCACAGACTCTTCCTCTTTCTTGAGTAGCAGTCTTCATTGGCATCTTCCACCCAAGGGTACACAGATCCAGCACAACTACATTTTCTGAATGAATTTTGTCCAAGAATTATCACATGTACACAAGAGAAAGTAGGACAACAAGCAATATGTCTGGAATGATAGTACATTTAAAACTAGATTTTGGTCTTACCTAGGCACCTCAAGTAGTATAGCAGGGCTGGGCCTAAAGCTTTCTGAAGTCAATGGGAAAAAATCAGTTGTTACATGCTATCTGTGGAACATAATTTTAGCTACAAAAAAAAAAAAAAAAAAAAAAGCAGTCTGGGTGATGAAATATGAAAGTACATAGTACATATATTTAATAAATATTTTTCTTCGTCTCTAGGTGGTTGATCTGTTAGTATCCATGTGTCGGTCTGCATTAGAGTCACCTAGGAAAGTTGTCATTTTTGAGCCATATCCTTCTGTAGTTGATCCTAATGATCCTCAGATGCTGGCCTTTAACCCCAGGGTAAGTAGTTGCCTTTCATTGTGTCATTGCTTAGTTTTAATAATGCATTAGGTTTCAAAGCAAAGCCTTATTCTTGAGTGTCCTCTACTAAAAAAGATACAGCTCCAGCATATAGCACAAGCATGCGGCTGTTTTCAGAACTCTCTGTTTTTGTTTAATTGTCTCTGAGAAGGTATTTGGGAATAAACTTTAAGTTGCATTGAAAGTTAGATTGAAGCCAATAACTTATTTTAAGACACAAACTACAGATGAAAAAACACCATCTTTGGTGTCTTCTCTCAATGTACAATTTGAACTTTCCATTCTTAAAGTGGTTATTGCTATTATTTCATTTTCTCTTTGCAAACTATTATGTCCTTAAACTTACTTTTATCAAATGTTGGACATAAAAGTCAGGTCATGTACAAGTATTAAATTTTGAAGAATTGTTTGCTCTTCAGACTGCAAATGCTGCTTCTCAGGGAAACTCTAGGGAAGCCATGAACCTATTATAACTCACTTGAGCCATCCTCAAGGGTATACATGAGAACTTCGGATGGCCTGCATGGGGAAGCATCCCACTTTTCCTGAACAAAGGCCAGCTAACAGTGGTTCTTCCTCAGAGGAAGGGGTGAATGTATTCTGTAGCGTACGGGAAGGAAGAATTGCCAGAGGAGCTTGGAAAGGGGCTGATGAGGAGACTAGTAGCTGGGCAGGGCAAGAGTGTAAAGTGGTATAAGGAATATGAAAAGGTGTCTTGCAAGAAGAGGAGTAGAAACAGCCCTAGGCTGGCATGGCCCACTCTTATCTCCTCTAGCAAGAATGCCAGCATGGATGAGGTGAAAGTCCATGGGCAGGAGTTGGTAAGACCCACAGACAGGGAGCTGGAGCTCCTGAAGGTGGTGTTGCATGTGGAGCTGGTGAAGCACAGACTGTTAAGCTCATCTGCTCAGAAAAGGTGGAGTCCTCTGGTAGCGGTTCCTAGGCAGAAGGTAAGCAAGGGTCAGGATGAAGCAGAGAGACAGCTGAGGGACCTCTGACGTTTTCTAGAGTTGTTAGCAAAGTGAACACATCTGCTTATTTAGCATCTTATTTAATAGCTGTTTGTTCATTGCATACTTAATAGCATATTATCCAAATAACCGGCAGAGCCTGTGTTTAGTTACAAATATTTGTTTAAAAAGTGACCTAATCTTTTGAGTTACATTGTGGTGTATTTGAGATTCTAGTGAAATTCAAATAACAGCCATCATGATAACATTTTTCGTGAAATTTTTGTGAACTATGAAGGAGTAAGTCTGTGTATAGATAAGGTGGAAGGAAGCTATTCAAAAAAAAAAAAGAAAAAAGAAAGGAATGGCTTGGTGAACATTCATCCAAACTTTGATGAGGACTTCACATCAAAAAAATGAGAGTTTTGTAGAGCCAAAGACCAATAGTCTGTTAATTTATTTGCTTATTTTATATTACATCAGAAGAAGAATTATGACCGAGTCATGAAAGCATTGGATAGTATCACTTCTATTAGAGAGATGACACAGGTGAGTTTAAAAATCTTTACATAACATAATAGCTTTTTCTAGAACTAGGAAGATGTTTATATGAGGCCTGTTATGGGTGGGGAAGGCAATAGTATCAGCTATTTTCTATAGAGCCATAATAATAATAAAATGTGTGCTAAAAATAACAAACCTACAGTATCCACAGTAGCAATGAAATTAAGGTGATGAAGTAGAATTCAGGTCTTTTGAAGTTTAAATAAGAGATAATAACAGCAGAATGGGGCATTGTAACAAGATAATCACCAACTGCTGCATTTCTGGAAATATCCAAGTCAAACTGAGTCTTTTATTTCCAAAGCAAAAGAAATTGATTTTGTGACGGTGTTCTGAATGATAGCTTTATTTCTGTTATAACAAAACACTTGTTCAGCTAAGTGTGGTTGGGGACTTGGAAGGTTGGGTCTCATGGGATTACTACCATATGATTTCTCAATATTCACAGTGGGACAGAATCTGATAGCTGTACTTATGTTTATAGCAACACTTCATTTCCCAAGCAGCCCAGCTGATTACAACTGATTATTGAAATCTCTCCGATATACCTTGCTTTTCCAACTGTTATATACATGTAACCTCACAAGAGCTTAAAAATTATATTTTATATGTATTTCTAAAGTACTTTGGGATTCTGGAATGAAGAATGAGGTATAGAGAGCAGTAAAACATATTGAAAATAAAACCATGTATTTTTTTACTTAATATAATAATCTCTTAAAGAGAAAAATAACCAACATTTTACTTTTTTTAATGTTAAAATAACAATTTGACTGAATAGTTTTAAAGGAATGAGATAAAAATTAAGAAAATGCTTCCTAAGGAAATTTAAGCTGCTAACAGTATTTTACTTTACCAGTTTATACCATGTAACTGTTTAAAAAAAATGGGGTGGATTATCTTGGGGTATTTTGAGAAACCAGATTTTGTGAAGTTCCAGTCCAATTCCTTAACCCAGAAACTTAACATAAGTACATCTTCTACTGTTATCCCTGAGATCACCAATGTTTTGCTATAATATACTCATTTTGATGCTAATTACATGCTTATTATTTTACTCCAGGGAAAATAATTGCTATATTAATTCTTCTTGTTGTCAAAACACATTTATAACTGTACAACGCCAAATGTCAGCAAAGCTATGATTTAAGCTTAATAACGAGTCCCATGTATTCGTCCCATTTAATAGAAGAAATTATGGGCAATGTAACATAAAATTTAACCTTACGATTTCAACTAACAATAAAGGACATAATTACTATTTTCTAGGCACCTTACTTGGAAATAAAGAAGCAGATGGATAAACAAGACCCACTTGCACATCCTCTTCTACAATGGTATAAAATTGACTCACGTGAGATGATAATTATTAAAGTACCAATTTGAATGAATAATGTCTTCACCAGTTTAATTTGGTATAAGCTTACCCTAAGAATTAATACTAAAGCTAATGTTTGCAGCTACTTTGTTTATGAGCTGTTTCTGGAGCTCATCTGGAGCAACTGAGAACACTGCTAGCTTATTTTATGGCCTCAGATTGATCTTGCAGTCAAGATTTGTTCTACTTTTATCTGATAGATTCAAAGGCGTGCAGCTCAGTGCTTTGTTCTGGCTGCGCATAATGTTTTTAAGAAGGAAAGTTCTTGGTTATCATGCCTAATACATATAACTGTTTCTTCTTGTAGGGTTATTTCTAGTAACAGATCACACATTGTGAAGCTTCCAGTGAATAGGGTAAGTGTCTGTGGGTTCATTATTTTCTTATTTCTCATGGCTCTTATTTGATGAGAGTCTCCTGGCCACATGTGGATGTCTATGTTCAAACTGGTCACATGGATCCTATTAGCAGACAGTGGAGAGAAGTTGGCAGTTTCAGGTTATGACTCATAGAATCATGTTGTGCATATCTAAGTCAAACAAATTATAGTCATAAAAATTCTATCTGAGGTGAGTAGCTCAAATGCAAGTGTCTACCTGCAATCATCTGAGATTGGGTGAAAAATTCACTATTTTAGTTACCGTTTAGAATGTTAAATACAAAATTGTAGTGTTCATCTGCACTGCTTTTTACATAACACACCAGTTCTGTAAACTGAGAACACAAGTTGAGAATACTATGAACTTGTAGTTTACAGAGAACTTGAATATACAGTAAAAAGAATATAGCTCTGGAATTTTAGAAGTATGGTGCTGAGATTAATTTATTGGTATATATATGCCTCCGATGTTCTGTTTAAGGGCATAGTAATCTGCAGCCTTTCAAATCTGAACTTTAATTCAAAGCCAACTCTGATCAAAATACTGTGATGAAATTGTTCAAATTAATTACCTTACTAGAGCCATATTAGGCTGAAATCTGTTTCAGAAACTTCCATATGTTTCATATGCCGAAGACTGTTTTTAATGTTTGATTTCAGATAAAAGGTATGGTAATGAGACCTATTTCAATTTAGTTTGTGTAGGTATTTAGATGCAGTCCTATATTGTGCAAAACAGCGTGATATATTAAGAACTACCGTTCTGGAAATGCAGTTCTTTTGTGTCCATCAATTTTTTTTCACATATGAACTTTTATATTTTACAGCAACTAAAGTTTATGCACACTCCCCACCAGTTCCTACTTCTCAGCAGTCCACCAGCCAAAGAATCCAATTTCCGAGCTGCTAAAAACCTTTACGGAAGTACCTTTGCATTTCAGTGAGTTCATATCTTTGTATTAATCAAAGGTTACTAAAATGCCATGCTGTTTTTTGTTCTTACCATTTGAGGTTTACAGCTGCAAATGTATTGTTTTAAAGGATTACTGATTTCATTTTGAATTTTACACTGTGGATTTTAATGCTTTCTCTTTTTAATTTTTCAGTGGTTCACACATTGAAAATTGGCATTCCATCCTGAGGAACGGCTTGGTTGTTGCTTCCAATACGAGGCTTCAGGTAAATAGACTAAAAGACTTTAGCTAACCTGTGCATGTTTGATTACATATTAAAATTAGGTGAGTTGTCAAGGGTTGTGTTTCTGGTAGTCGTGTAGGTGGTAAAAAGAGGTGACTTCCTGGAAAAGAGACTTTTCTGAAGCAATTAAAATGAAGTTAGGTATCTGCTAAAATAGCTTTAAAAAATCCCATTGGTAGAATCTGTGTTTCAGTTTTACATTACACAGCAGCACCTCCAAGAGGTTTAGCTCGGTACTGCCTAAAAGCAGTCTGAGATTAAAATGTATGCCTATATTATAGGATCCCAGAGTATACTAGCTTTACAGAAGCCAGGTTACAGTGCCTTCTCAGCTCCTCAAGTTTTCTTACAAGGGGAATGCAAGCATACTGGTAAGGAGGGAACTATAGCAAACTTCAGTTTGATTTCTCTGCAAGACCACTCTTGCAGAGCAAAGTAGTCAGTAGCAGAGGGACTAGAGGACTGTGATTCGTAGTGTTTTAGCAACACAGTTTTGACAGCTGTTCACCAGTGATGAATCCATGATCCTGATTAGATACTTTAGAGGAGGATTCAAGGGTTCTTACTATGGTCTAGGGAACAGGATGTACTAGAAAAAAAGGAGTGGAACTCTCTGCTGTTCCTCTTAATGCTTTGGATGTTTTTCTTAGCATCTTTGTAAGACACTTCACCAAGAAAGCAAGATTTAAGCTCCAAAATTACGCAAGTAAACCCCTTTATGCTTGGTGTTTGTTTTTGTATTTTTTTTAATGGAAATAGGAGCAAGCAGTTCATACAAGTCTGTTTTATACAAGTTATCATTTTTAGATCTCTCACATGACTAATCCATATTGTGAGCCCTGTTCATTCTGCTTACCTCAGTACCAATCAGTCAGGAAAAGTATCTACTCACCAGGGATCCTGTGCAATACTGTAGGACTTGGAGGAGTGAGAGCATGACTGTATTTCTGTAGGAGTGCTGACACATTGCAGACATAAGGCAAATGTTATGGGGTCAGAGCAAAGAAATGAGGGTGAGCATGACTCTGAAGCTCAGTGTCCATAACATTTACCTTCACAGGAGATACTCTGGGTTCTTGCATGTGCTCCACCAACTACTTTGTGTGGTTTCTTGAAAGCCTCATAAGGCAGTCTATCTCTTGAGGAGAAGCAAAAAGTGTATATCCCTCTTTCTAGACAAGAAAATCACTAATAAAATGTGCTTGTTTTGTTGCTTTGCCTAGGCTCTGTGACATAGAGCAGTTATGTTGGTGAAGAAGATTCTTCCTTTTCCTCTCTTCTTTTCAGACATTTTATAGCTCTGTGGCTAAAACACTGTCCTGAAGAGACAGAATATGTATGGCTGAATTGGCTCAGGCAAAAGCTTGGTTGAACCCATTCTTCCAATACTCTGGTTGAACTAGTGACAATTTTATTATTTTTTTTAGCATATGAGTGGTGTCATCACCATCTCTTCATTTTTGAAAGAAAATAAAAGCAGCTGTTGCTGAATTGTTTGCTCATCCAAGGCCAGCTGGTGTACTTTGGAAACACCTTCTGGACCTAGACCCTCAAAGGCTGGCTTAGGCTGTGGTTCCTGCAAAGGTTTTGATGTAAGACACATGGTGAGCTGCTCACCCTTGTTAAGGCTGAAGTGTATTTGGCCACTTCAGAAGCACGTAGCATCCCTCATGGTAATGTTAGGCATCCCTCATGGTAATGTTAGATTTTAAGACAGAAAATGCAATTTTATGTACAAATCTGATATAAAATTGTCTTTGGGCATTTGGATGCAGTTTCCAGAACATATAGTTGTATATTCACAGCATTTTGTTTTCTTTTGTTGTTGGTTTTGGTTGTTTTATTTTTAGAGACTTCTTTGAACACCATTTATTACCAGTCAATAAATCAGCGCAATGGGCTGAATACTGATCTACATCAAGACATGTGTTTATCATTTTTACTTTGTCTAGATAACCAAATAATTGTTAAACAGACATTCTTCTCTCTCTTTTTCAGCTCCATGGTGCAATGTTTGGAAGTGGAATCTACCTTAGTCCATTGTCAAGCATATCATTTGGTTACTCAGGTGATATTTATAAATCACTCTAAAATTGGAGAAATATAGGGGGGTGTCTTAGTCAACTGCTTTTCTTACCAGTATCACTGTTTACAATACTGTAGTATTTATCTTTGTAGTCCAAGCTTAGATTTTCTCTTTTTTAAATAAATTATATTTTCCCTTATTAAGTACCCATCCTCATTTTCAAAGGTGCTGAGTACCTTGAAAGCTTGAAGTAAATAGTAGCTAGAGTTGGATGCTGTTTGTAGTGAAGCAGGCCTTGACTATGCCATGGAAATCCAACTTTGTTTTTTTTTTTTTTATCCGTATCTGCCTAAGTTCATCTAGAACTATCCACGTAGTTATAGGCTTTTAGGACCTGATCTGACAGAACAAGTATTCATCAACAGACATGTTCAACAGCATATGTTTAAGAATATTCCCAAGTATTGCCATGTCAGGGTCACATAAAAGATACAGGATGTGTTCATGTTAACATGGCAAGGGCAGGAAATTTAATTTGTCCCACTAATAAATCCAAAAGTGAGTCATGTAGAGTTTTCTATATGAGAATAAAATCATAAATAGAAGCATAACAGAAACATGATATACCAATGTGTACATTAAGAAACATTTATAGAGATTTTAAAGTCTCCTTTAGTTATGTTGTATTTACCATTTCCTCATATATAAATGTGTGTTCATGTGCATGTAGGTAAATTTAATTTTGAGAGTGTTAGTTATACCTTCTGGTAATTTTAGGTAATGTCACAATCAGTTTTTAGAGCTTAGCATTTCTTACTACTACTTACTCGGTTTTAATATCAGCAGACTTTAAATGCACTGTTAGCTTTTCAGAGATTACACAAGTATAGAAGCATTTTAGGACTCACTGAAAGCTCAGGTTGAAGCACCATCATCTAACAAAATTACTTAATTTTTGGACAGCATTGTTTTGTCAATTTCAGTGTGCTTTTTCTCCTTTTTCTGCCTTTCTCAGTCCCTTCCATCCAGTCTCCTCCAGAAAGGAAGTCTATGCCTATGAAATATATAATACTTTATGTAATAAAAAACACAACAGAGTCTATAATCCTCATTACTTCATAAACTTACTTTTTGCCATAATTCAGTTTGTGTTTTCAAACTGTCAAGAAATGTGGGACAGTGGAAAAGAAAGGATGTCTGTAACAGCATACAGTACAGGAATTTTATTAAACCCAATGTGATGAATGTATGCAACATCTAAGGTACAAACATAGACGTCTAAATTTCTCAGATGGAAATTTCATCCAAAGTGTCTGAATAATAATATATTCAGCTGTAGATAAACCATTTAAACCTAGCTAGACTTTAAAACTACCTCTAAATAAATGAACTACTATTGAAAATTTTATTTTGATTTACTGAAAGTCTAAATAATGCTAAAGATGAATACATAAAGTTCTTTCTCATTATATTACTGTCCCACCTACAGTAAATCAGACTGTTATTTCAGCCTGAGTAGGGTCAGTTAAACTCAAGGCATTTGAAGATGCAAATCTGTTAAACAATGACAAACTCAGGATTAAATTCCTGAGCTGAACTCAGTGTCATTTAATCTCACTTTCCTACCTGTGTGGTGCTAATTTGGCTTTCCCATGGTCTTTGTAACACATGCAGGTATACAGGTAATTTGCAGGTTTAAATCAAATTATCTTTGACAAAGAAAGCTGTCTACCAACAAAAACTACCCTTCTGGCAGCCATGAAAAAGACTGTGTGTGATTCCCATCATGTTACCTCTTGCATTCTCCATACTTAATTTTGGTTATTGTTGCATTTATATACCAGGGTATTTTACGTGATTTTAATATCTTAGGGATGAACAAGAAGCAGCAGAAGGTGTCAGCTAAAGATGAACCAGCTTCAAGCAGTAAGGGCAGTAACACATCACAGGTACGGTAGTGTATCAACCATCTCTGGAAGTTCTATGGTTTTATGTTTGGGAACTTGATATCAGAAAAGAAGGCAATATTCCCTTTGTGAAGGTTAACAATTTTACTTCATTGAATGAAATCGACAAGTCCAGAGACTATAACCATCGAATACAGCCCAGTTGTTTTAGTAAGAATTTGTGGAGTGTACTACTTCTTTTCCAAACAGAAGTATTTGGGAAGAGAACAACAACAAAATACAGATAGCATTATGACCCTTAGCAAGTACTTGCTTTTTGAACTCTAGATTTTTTACTGAAGAACAATGCAAAAAGAATTTAAAATGGCTATTACTGGAGAATTAGCATAGTATTTCACTTATACCTAGTCATTTGTTGTTTTTGTTTTGTTTTGTTTTGTTTTTTTCAGTTTCTACACATTAGACCACTATAATTCTGCTTTATTTAAAGCAAATGAAAATGGTTATTACTGGAGAATTAGCATAGTATTTCACTTATACCAAGTCATTTGTTGTTTTTGTTTTGTTTTGTTTTGTTTTGTTTTCAGTTTCTACACATTAGACCACTATAATTCTGCTTTATTTAAAGCAAACTCATAGCAATTATGTTTAGGACTAAATGTTGAGAAATTACGTCTGTCTCCATGGTTAACACACAAGAACTGTAAGATAATCTTGCTTTGAAGAAAAATTGGTATGTAAGTGCAGAAGCTCTCATAAATGAGCAGGCCAGCAGTATCAAGATAGTAGCCAAAGAATCACAGATCAAATTCACTGTGTTTCTTTTGTTTTTGTGCAATTTGTTTATCTATAGCACTCTGATATTTCTAGTACTATTCTTGATACTATAATAATTGGTAAGCTTTCTTTCTGGGTAGAGTTCAAATCTTTCCTATGATAATATAAAAAAAAATGTTTTAGAATGGCAACCTCTATCTTTGCTATCTTTGCTTATTAATAAACCACTGACAATAGCAGCTTTACTACTTTTTCACTGTTTGCCTTACAGCGCTAATTAAGTTTTCTCTTTGTTTTGTTTTGTTTTGTTTTGTTTTGTTTTGTTTTGTTTTGTTTTGTTTTCTCAGTCACAGAAGAAAGGACAACAGTCACAATTTTTGCAAAGCCGTAACTTAAAATGCATAGCCTTATGTGAAGGTAAGCTGAAAGTAATTGAAAAACTGTTTTAGTCATAGGCACAGCGACACTGTATATAAATCAGCATCAACATTAGTTCCAGTATAGGTTGGTTTTAGGTCAGAAACAATTGGTAGGTATATAAAAACTTGTTTAATAATCTTTGTGTTTCAGTTCAGAACACTTCCTTCTTCAAAGAAAACCTGTAACACAACCTGATTTTTTCTGAAATAATCATATGCACAAAGTGACTGATCATTCAGTCTGTCTTTCAAATATGATCATATTCCTAAGTCATCAATATGATCCAAAGAAAGTCTTTATTTGAAGTGGTGACTTCTTGCAAGCATTTAATAAAAACATTGAACACAAAATTCTGAGAAACAGAAGCTTTCCTATCGAATTCCAATTAATTTTGCATTTCTCAGGCAAACGTGTTGTTCATCTGGTAGCCAGCTTGTTGTTCTGGACTGCTTCAGAATTTTTGTGAAGTTAAAATCCATTCCATATGATTACAATTATTCCTGAAAGACTTGGCTATTCTTTTAGTAATAAATGAAAACAGCAGCTTCCGAGAAAAAAAAAATAAATAAATTTGAGTAAGAGCAATTGGTAATGAGTCTCATTGGCCAAACAAAAAGAAATCAGGTTGAACTCAGCTTGATCTCCATTTTCAGCATTTGTTTATTTTAAAAAGTAAAAATTAAGGCATGGTAGAAAAGATGTTCTTTCAAAATGAAAGCTATTTTTATGCTACTTTTTAAAATAATTATTTTTTCAGATGTTGAATTAAAATATTTAATATGATCAAGGCTGTCAGTCAACATAAAACTTAAACATGATCTGGATAGGAAAATATACAACTTTATGAGTGTAGCTTTCAAAAAAGCTATGAAATGAATGCAGGCTTTACTAGAATTTACTTTTTAAAAATGCTTGAAGTTTCTAAATATAAATTATACCTTTCCCAAGTATTAATATGGGATAGAAGAGATGAATATGTAGGACTTTTTTATCTCTGACATTCTTCCTTTGCATTTCTCAATGGATTGTGAATGTTGTAAGGGTTAAAATATATGGTAAAACATATTTTACTTTATTGTAAAATTATTTACTATATTTATTACTTCACTTTTCTTTGCAAAGTGTTTGGGGGAAGGTGTCTATCAAATACAGATTTGAAATAAATTACAACAAATAAATGTTTGTTAAAAATTAAAATTAAATGAAGAAATAATGTAAAAATTTGGTATGCACTTATTCATGGTAGTGTTTAGATGCATTTATAGAAACTTTTTCAGTTATAGATTCATAGCAAAGCTACTACCTAGAAATAAGAATGTTTATCTCCTATGTTGTTCTAATTAGGCTGTTTAACAGCTTGTCATTGTTTTCTAAATGTTGAGCAAGTTTTGGCAAGTTTCACAATCCCCTTGATTATACTTGGTGTGCTTAAGTTTTAAAAAATATTTGGTAGTATTGAAAATCCCTAATCTTTGGCATCTCAGTTTCAGGCGTTGTCTTTTACGTCTTACTGTTGTCTCAACCATCATCAAACACAAACATGTCTGTGCCAAAGTCATTAGTTGACTCAGATCCTCCTTAACAGCCCTATGCCCATTTAAAATCAGTTTTTAATAGGCATACATTTTCATTTTTCTTGTTTACTAGTCTCTAGAGCAGGTCTTGGGCCTTCAAAGAACTCTGTTTATGAGAAGTACCAAATGATCATACAAGCCAACTTTAGTTTAAAATTATTTCTTAACAAACTGGCTCCCATACATCAAGCATTTGTGTTTTCTGGAAAGTAGAATGTATTTTGGAAACAAGAATCAAGTTCATCTCCCTGTTTGTACTGACAGCCAGCTTGGAGACTACACTTTGCCACAGACATGCACTGGAAAATTCAACATTCCCACAAAGCTATTTAAAGTGTGTAAAAAGCAAATATTTTAAAGCAGTATTTTCCTGACATGTTTTGATCACTATGAAATTTATTCTTTCCCTGATAGTGATAACCTCATCTGATCTGCACAAACATGGGGAGATATGGGTAGTTCCCAATACAGATCACGTGTGTACAAGATTTTTCTTTGTGTGAGTACAAACCTTCTTTTAACATACATCTGTCTTTTCTAGGCCTTTTTCCCCATGATCCTGACAACAGTTGGAAATGAAATAGATAAAAGTTACTTCTTTCTAATTCTTTAGAGAATTGCTTCAGTTTTTATTCAGTTTTATTCAGTTTTTTATTCTATAATTAATTTTGATAGAAAATATATGGATACATTAGTGACAAAGATTTAGTAGTCACTTTGATAAAGAAAAAAAATGCAAGGAATGGAGTGTTACTGATTTTTCCCACTCTATAGCATTGCTTTATGTTGCAGTAAGTCTCTCCATGTATTGCAAAATCTCTCTTCTATTCAGGTGTGTGATTGAAAGCTAAAGAATTCATTAATGAGAAAAAGCTTCCTATCTGTGATGTGAGCGTTTTTCCTCTCAGCTATGACTTGTAATTACACATTGACATAGATTTTAGCCCTGCAAAGAAAGTCATGCAAATGAGTGGAGAAGCACAGACTTCAGATTCACCAGCTCTGAGGGTTTGCAGTGATCAGGATTTCTTTATCTATGCAATCCCTTAATGCAGATGGGTTCTTAACAAGGACAAAACCCCAGAAGATTTCATGGTGTCACCTCTAAGTGGAGGTCCTCTTGTGACAAAAGTTTGGGTGCCACAGGCATTGCAGTGCCTTGTGCATGCTTTGGTACCAGCCTTGTGCGGGGCTGTTCAAGAGCAGGCACAGAAACAGAACTTTCCTTTATACATCCACCAACAGGGGAGCTCCTAGTGCGTTTCCATGGGCCCAGTGCTGGCAGCACTGCAGAATTCCCAGTGGGCTGTTCAGCCTTAGGGTTTCAATGCCAATGGAAGTCCTACCACCATTCACTCTCTATAGAGTTTAGGATCTGTGTGTAACAATGAAGTACAGCAGAACATTTGAATAGTAAGCATGGTAAAGCATAGAATAAGTGCTTTTGATTATTGAATAAAACAAAGTTTTGAATGCTTTTAGGTAGATTAATTAAACACTAACTTGATTTTATTTTTTTTACTTTTTTTTTTTTTAGTTACGAAGATGGTCAAGTGGGTGATACAAGTATAAATACACAGGAACCAAGCATTCATAAAGAGATTCTTCGAGTCATTGGCAATCAAACTGCTACTGGTTAAAAGGACCACTGTTATTTAATTGATGTGATTTGGAAGCCTTCCTCAGTCTCAAAGCTGGATTTTGAACTGAAGAAGATGCAAAAAACTAATTTATTATTATTATAAGCAAGTTAACCCTTTGAATACTTACTGTTTTCTTACTTAGTATTTCTTATCTCATCAAAATACCTGAGATGGTATGAATTAGCAACTGTAGGGTGCAAAGTCTATTAATATACTACAACTAATAATAATTAAACAGGCATTTGGGTTGCTCACAATAAACAGAATTTAAAAAAGGAGTTTTGTGCTGATATTTTTATATTAAACTCTTCAATTGGAGGTTTTAGTACTGTACACTGGTATTTTAAATTTAGAATGAGAGAATTATAAGCAAGAGAGAAGATTTTATAGCGGAGAACCTGTGTTATACAGGATACTTTGCAATAAGTAAAATATTCTCATATTTAAACACAATAAAAGGTTGTCTGGAACATGTCAAATTAAAGAGATTGGTTACCTGCAGCTATCTTTGATTCATTTTATTTTACACAGGTGTAGCCAGGATTTAGAGTCAAAAGGTTAAAACAACAATACATTTTTGACGTAATGAATGAAACAAAGTAAAGCAATGACTCTAATGGTGTATGTTTAGTTTTTTTATCCTCTCTGGAAATACTCTTATCCGTTAAGCGTCTCAATTATATTTTTTAATTAAACAAGATTAGCAAACACCTGGAAATCCAGAAGCTGTTAACTTTCTTTCTACAAGTTTGGTTTTTATACACCGGATTTTACAGTTTCTTCAGATAAACAAAGTTCTTTAATGTTTTTATCCCAACATTAGCAAGATTTTCTGTGGCTAACTTTATTCAAATAAGTAAAAGTACCTGCTAAATTAGAGCTTTAATATGATTGGGTTGATTTTTGGTACATCAGAAACTATAAACAAATGCAAAATTTTATTGACTTTCTCCATGTGAAATATTTTTATTAATTTATTTCTAAGGAAAAACAAATCAATTAAAATCTTTGTCCTTTAAACTAATTGCTTTTTTTCCAAGTAAGCATGATGGCAACACAGGTAGGGCCTAGTCTCCATGGCATAAAGAATATCCTGTGCCCTCAGCAGCTCTCACAGGAGCCATCCTGCACCTGGTGGTACAAGCCACCAGAGAAAGTAAAAACAGACTGAATCAGCTATTACATGGTTTTTGTTTTTAATAAAGATACTGAAGAGCCAAGTAAAAGCATAGGAGAGAGACCAGCTAGTGGTTGTATTTATTTTTTTATTTTAAATAGAACTCCATTAGGAAGATAATGTTCATATTTACTGGTAATGGGTGATTCCCTGGTTTTAGTCCCAAGTTATACTCCCATATTCCTTGCTGCAATTGAAATGCCCTGCAAGTAAAATAATATTACTGGAACATACTTAAAGTCTTTTTTTTAGCATTCCAGACTTATTTGCTGGTGACCTCCATTTTTCTGGGTTCACACCTGACCTGTCAACCCAATTTTGTTTTCGAAACCCATTTTGCTATTGAATTTCTGTTGACTTTCACTCTCATTTGGTGGACACCTCATGTGAGAACCACTACTCTAGTTCTTTTGTGACACAGGTTCTTGAAAACAAACTTATTGAAACAAAGAGGATTCCTGAAATTTATCTATCTACATAAAGACTGCATTAGGTTATGTAGCTGCACAAAATCAGCATAATTCAGAAGTAGAGCTGAAAACCTGGAATACTCATTCCCCCCATATTTTGTCCTGCAATATGTGTCTGAATCTCTCTTTTTGCAGAAAACAGAAAGAGACTAGAAAGCAAGTCCACAAATTGTCCTGCAAGTCCTGCATTGACTTGCTGGCTGACCGTTCATTTCTCTGAGAGACCTCAAAAAATAAAAAAGAACAGAAGAAGACCATGAATGAACTGGAGAAGCCAAGTAAGCAGTCATCTTCCCAGTCCCCTCAAGTTACAGCAGGGTCATAAATGAACCCTTTTGAAGAAACCTTGAGTGTAGCTGTTGGAGTGAGTTAGCCTTGCTTTGCACAGTGGTGTCATGATGCTGACCATGTATGGTGCCCTAAGTACAACCACTGGAAAGGGAGTGAAAACATAATGTCTGCCAAATTTTAAGACTGCTCAGAAGATTGTCTTAAATGGATTAGAGGGAGGAAGGGAAGGTGGAGAAAAGCAGGCCACAGAGATGTATGAGGAGACCTTGCTGTTACAGAGGGCCCGTTTCAGGGATTATCAAGGGGACTAGCTAAAGTATGGGGGTGAAAGAGGATGACCAAGAGTAAAAGACAATGTGATGAGCACAGGCAATGGGACAGGGCAAAATCTGTAAAGGAGAAGGGTGGATCTGAAGGGGCAGGTAGTTTGTCGGTAGGAAAGGTAAAAACAACAACAACAACAACAACAACAACAACAAAAAGTGTCAGCAGCTGAGGTCCCACTCTTTGTGTGGTGAGAAAACATAGGGGTAACAAAACTGCAACATGGGGAGAAGTGCAGCATTGTGCTTGGGGGAGCTGGGCCACCTTGAGAGCTGGCAAGGATACCTGGGACAATGCAAGGACACAAGCCCAGTGTTGCATACAAAGCAATGGAATTAAACAACACTTCACTTGCTACACAGTAACTCAGTCAATTTTTTCCTGAGCCAAAACACTAATGGGAAACTTTTTGGTGTTATGTTGCCTGCTGGTGAAAACGAATCTTCAGATTGTTCCTTTAGCAAAATGTTAGTTCTCATTTTTTAAAGGTGAAGGAAAAAATGGAGGTTCTCTGGATTTGTTAGTCAAAAACAAATAGCCCTTCTGTAGCAGACTTCAAAACTGAAGCAAATACTTTCTCACAAAGAACTGGAATGAGGGAGGAGGAGATTTTATTTGAATTAATTTTGTGTAGTTTTTATGCAAGGCTGGAGTTGCATATTGTCCAATTCTTACAAATACTAATTTGCATGTTTTCCACAGGATGAGAAACAAAAAGCCAGAGTCATCTGAGAAAAAGCCCTGTGTTATCCATAAAGCCCTTGCATTTGCCTTCCTCTGTTGTCATGTGCATGTACATGACATGATGATAGAGCAATCTTTATAACTCCTACTGTAAAAATATAAACCTTTCAAAACTAGCTTTTGACCTCTGAGAAAACAGAACCCCAAGCTCTTAGTATTTGCTTGGTAGAAATCTCCATGAAGCCATATCTATCTAGCTGTGACCATGTCCAGTATGCAGCAACCAAGGGAATTCTTGGGAAGGAGCTTCGTTAACTTACTTCTGCATCAGACACCAAATTACAAGCCCACAAATATGGAAATTTAAATGGAAAAAGTATGTTAATCCCTTAATGTTGCACCCTAATTATAAATTGCCATATTTGTACTTCTATATGTATTCTAAACATTGAGAAAAGAATCAAAAAAAGATATTTTTAGACCTTTCTTGAAATTCAGACTGATATTTAGCATTCAAGGGGTTAAGCAATTTGGGTTATTTTCTTACTATATCTATAATCAGCATAGCTCTATTTTCTTCAGCAGTGCTACACTGTTCTGATCACCTGAATCTTGGGCTCTGCATTATTTATCATCAAATAGTCAGTTTGTGTAATATTCTGCTTAACATTTTAAAGGAACTAGTTGATGACACCAGAATTGTTTATGCTTGTGTTTTCTCTAAAGCCCTTGAAAAACTCTTACTGATGCTTTGTAATTTTAATATTATAACTGTTGGTACTAAAAATGCATCTGGTGAAATAATGCTAAGGTTATGCTTTTGTTAATACAAATATAAGACCACTTCCAAAAGAAGACTTTGTGCTTAGATCAGTTATACTATGCTTATAGACCACTTCTTACCGTGGAAATAATTAGCAGACAAATGAATGAACTGAATCATAATTTTAAAAGAAACACGAAAAAAACTAAAGAAATACAGAAAGAGTGTCTAGTTACTTCAGCATTATATTAGTTTAAATGGATTTCTTCTTGGCTGTAGAAAATGTAAGTTAAATAAAAAGAGTACTTCTTGTGGCTGACAAGAGAGGAAACTCTACCAGAGCAAAAGCACTCTTTAATCTTAGCATTTTCAAAACATACAGATTTGGGGGCTGATCCCACATTATGCTGACAGCCACTACAGGTGCTGGGAGCTAGGCCCTTAAACAAATAGAGGCGTTTTTTGTAGTCGTCGTTCTTCACTGTCATGGTAAGTGTTTTACAAGCACCTCTGATGAAAAGACCTACGGCAGCTGGCATCAGTGTGCCCAGTCCATGGCTGGTGGGCCATGGCAGGTCTTCTTTGGCTGCCCAAGGCTGGGGTAGCAGCAGAGGCCTCACTGGTGAAGGTGGTGGGGAGAAGAGGTGGGAGAGACCCTGGCAGGTAGGCCCAAGCCTCCCCATGCTTTGCAGGGCCTACGCTTGCCTGGTAGGGCACTGTAGGGCCTATGGCATGGCATGCACAAAACCAAGGGGTGGTCAGGTGTCCTGCTGGATTTCCTTGTTACAAACACTACCTCAAGGGGAAAGATGGGCCTGTGGACTAAAGTGAACAAGGCTGTTTGTTTGCAGAGCATGCAGGGTGAAAGCAGTTTGAAAAGTATCTAGAGTTCAGGCAGTCAGGGCTGTAATGATAACCAAATTTATTCCTTAAAACACTGAGGATTGGGATTGTGCTTCTGAGTGAGAGAGGTAAGGAAAAAAGCAAAGATTTAAAGCAAAGCAGTGCTCTGCACATGTAGCATCATGTACAGTGCACAAGGCTATCACAAGGAAGTTGAGTTACCTGATCTGGTTTTGGACATTTTGGTTATGAAGACCCCGGGCTCTTCTGCCTCACCATGGCATCAACTATGGCCACCTCCAGGCCTGCAGCTGCCTCAAGCGAGCAGAATAAAATACCGAGCCGCTGTTTGGTGTGATGAATGCAATACTTGGCTGGGTTTTCCTGCTAAACTTTCATCTGCTGGGGAATGGCAATGATGTAAATTATGACCCATTACACTTTGCATTGGGATTTTGTACACAGTATGATATACTAGGTAGAACATTTTGTTAGGAAAAACAAAACAAAGAATTCAAGTAGTAGTTAGATGAACATATGTAATGTGTGAAAAAGCTGTTGAAGAATAGATTCCATTAAACATGCCAGCAAGTCAGTAAAAATAGTCCTTATACACATTCAAAATCATTTAATGTTCTAAAAATAATTTTTAAATTTACCCAGTATGTGTTGTATCTTTGAATTTTAAGAAGCAGCCACTCTTTTATGTAAACATAAAATATGCCTATGTTTCTTTTAACTCTGCAGCCTTTTTTTCTCCAAATAAATTTGTTAAATTCTGTGCACAAAACATTACCGCAGCCTGCTATTTAGCCTATGGTGCCTTAGAGTTACTACAAATATTTAACAAAATGTACATAATGTAAATACTGCCAAAAGATCACTAAGGCCAAATATTTTCTCTATTCACTTTTTACTGCACTTGCTTTCTATTGCTCTTTAAGCCTCTTTTATCCAGCTTTGTAACAGTTACAACATTGTAGCCAATGTAAATGTTTACTTTCAATAAATCAGAATTTGTTCAACAAGCACTGTGCATTTGGGCACTATTTTGAAAGCTCTGTTCGAAGTTAAAACAATCTTCTAAGAATTAAAAGGAGTCTCATGCCTTTTCTGGACTTTTGCTAGTCTCAACAAAACCTGAAGCTTATGCCATGCTTCTACAC